AATATTAGCAACTATTAGATGATTTTCCTAAATGCTTCATTGTGGGTGCGGACAATGTCGGCTCAAAGCAAATGCAACAGATTCGTATGTCATTGCGTGGAAATGCAGTCGTACTGATGGGCAAAAATACCATGATGAGAAAAGCTATTCGCGGTCATATAGAACGCAACGCAGCATTAGAGAAATTACTGCCTCACATTCGTGGTAATGTTGGGTTTGTTTTCACCCGAGGTGATTTGATTGAAGTAAGGGACAAACTGCTGGAAAATAAAGTACGTGCTCCAGCCAGGGCAGGAGCCATTGCACCCTTAAGCGTTATCATTCCTGCACAAAACACAGGACTTGGTCCTGAGAAAACTTCTTTTTTCCAAGCTTTGAGTATACCGACTAAGATTTCTAAGGGTACTATTGAAATAATAGTAAGTACTTGTGATTTATTAAAATTTAATATTGTCTTACACATTCTGCATAAATAATAACTACATAATAATAACTGGATATCACATTTTATAGAATGATGTTCATATCCTCAAACCTGGTGATAAGGTGGGAGCTTCCGAAGCCACGCTTTTGAACATGCTGAATATTTCACCTTTTTCTTATGGATTATTGGTTGAACAAGTGTATGATTCTGGTACTATTTTTGCGCCTGAGATTTTGGACATCAAACCTGAAGATCTACGTGAAAAATTCATGGCAGGAGTCGCAAATCTAGCTTCAGTTTGCTTGATGATTGGTTATCCTACAGTTGCTAGCGCTCCACATAGTATTGTAAACGGCTTCAAGAACTTGCTAGCTGTTGCTGCTGTTACTGAGGTTGAATTTGCGGAAGCTACTACTATCAAGGAATACGTTAAGGTATGAATTTATACCTTATATCTCATAGTTTCTAATTGAATGAATATAATGATGAAAACATTACGCGTCTGAAGATCTTGGTTCACGTGTCAGAGCTAGAAATAGTTGAACCCATTGACATGTCAAGATTGTTGTTGAAATATCGCACGAAAGTGCAGTCTGAATTAAACATAATGTAGATATTCTACTCTGCAATTGGCCGAGAAATATTTATTAAGAATAATGGAATTGTTTATAGGATCCAAGCAAGTTTGTTGTTGCTGCCGCTGCTGTAGCAACTCCAGCTGCTGCAGCTGCTGACGCTCCTGCTGCAGAGAAAAAGGAAGAGAAGAAGGAAGAATCAGACTCAGAAGACGATGACATGGGTTTTGGATTATTCGACTAATGCATACGTACTCACGTTATGTATGCTAAAACGTCTATTTGAAACAACCTTTGTCAAACAAGAATCGATTCAAATTTTGTATCATGTTATAAATCTGAAAATAAAATAAAATCAAATTGAAAGGAAATTTTAGTTTTATTTATTATTCTGTCACTTTTGATTGTATTTATTAACAATATTAGAATTTTTAGTGACAATGATTTCGCGTATTGGTACGTACAATTTATATGTCCTTAGCTCATGGTGAAACACATTTCCAATGGTGCAGCACAATCAAAAGAATTGGGAACGGGCAACAGAAAACAAAAATTTCAATCTACCAGAAACCTTGTACTATAAAATACACAATTTCTGATAAGCTTATTCTGAAATTCTTATTCTCTGTTTCCTATTTGTATACATGAAGCCTTAAAGCAACAGGAGAGAGAGAGAAAGAGAGAGAATAGGGAATAAGAGATTTTACCTATCAGAAATTCTATATACTAGAATGCATGGTTTCTGATAAGTTAAAATCTGTTATTCTCTGTTCTATTGCCTATGCTACTCATTGTGTTCAAGGCTTAATTCCTGAACATATCTTACAGCCATGATGGAATTCCATCATTTTGTTCACTCAGCTTCTTCGCTTTCTCTCTTCTCAGCGCTAAATATATATCTATCTCATTTTAAGTGCAAAAAGTGCAAACAAGCCGAACACATGTTTGCAACTATGGTATTTTGATTTTGATACAACGCCGATTTCTTAACCTGTACAGTCATTAACTTAACAATTAATATCTTGCTTTGCAGGCAGAGCAGTAAGAATCATTTATACTAGCCGTAAGCTATAAGAATTGATTAATAATCGTCAAATAGAAAAGGGAATAATCAATTATGATATAAACGAAGTTTATAAATGATTCTATACATTTTTTATCAGATTCTTTCGTTTTCCATAAAAAACGCATCAAATAAGCATAATTTTATCAGTATTGGAGCTGAAGAAAATTAAACAATTACAAAATGAGTTTCAACAAAATTAAGGAAGTTATAGAAGATGGAGACATTGTTATTTTATATTTAAATCCAAATAACATGCATCCTCTGGAAGTAAAAGCAAAAATTTCCAATAAAAAGGGCAAAATCATAGATAATGTGTTCAATACTGCCTATGGTGCACTAAGAGTCATATCACTCATCGGACAAAAGTATGGTTCAAAAGTCGAGTTGACTCGAGGTTGGGCATATGTGTTGCAGCCAACGCCAGAACTTTGGACACTGATACTACCTCATAGAACTCAAATTATCTATAGTCCAGATATAAGTTTTATTATACATTTAATGGAACTTAGACCAGGAAGTATAGTAATTGAAACAGGTACGTCATACGCACATATATACTATGCTGATACACACATATATTCGAAAGAAAATAGCTTTATTCAATTTTAGGTACTGGTAGTGGCTCTTTATCTCACGCATTAATTCGAGTGATACGTCCAAGTGGCCATTTATATACATTCGATTTTCATGAACAACGTGTATCTATTGCTAGCACAGAATTTAAAAAACATGGTTTGAGTAATTTTGTAACTTTGAAAGAAAAGGACGTTTGCTTAGAAGGATTTGGAGAAGAATTAAAACATAAAGTCGATGCAGTGTTTCTAGATCTTCCACATCCATGGTTAGCTGTAGAACATGCTACAGTTGCTCTAAAAAAAGCAGGTGAATTTTAAAAATTTAATTTTTTTTTATTTATAAAGAATTTTAATTAACAGTAAATATTCTAGGATGAGTATTTTAATATCTGCACAGATATATGTAATTTGAATTAACATTAATACATATAAGCGTATTTGAAGATATAATACATGTATTATATAGCATTGTAAGTGTTACATTCATTATAGTACAATGTATGATGTACAATTTTTATCCAACAGGTGGAAAACTATGTTTCTTTTCTCCTTGTATTGAACAAGTTCAACGTACTTGCATAAAACTAATTTGTGAAGGATTTATAGAATTACATACGTACGAATGTTTGCAAAGAGAAATGAATGTTCAATACAAGCTTTTGCCAATATTAGATTTGGAATGTTTGAAACACAAGGTTGGTATACTTTATCGTTATTAGTGAAAAATCTTTAATTGCATATGATACAAATAAAATAAATTAAAATAATATTCAATTACTCATCTAAAACTATAGTATATCAATGTAAATATTGAATATTTGAATGGATTAATGACATATAAAATATCAAATTTAACATTTTATAATTTTGTAAAATTTTATATTTTAGTATATTTTCTTGTAAAATATTTTAATAGATAGAAAAAATTTTAAGACATTGAAAAAACATTGAATAAAGAATAACCTGAATATAAAAATGAAAAATTTAATTATTCTATTATAGCACACAACTGAAGATATTCACAAGAACGAAAAAGAAAAACAAGAAAAACTTCTTACAGTAACTCACTCTCATTCATTACCTGGCCATACAGGTTTTATTACGATTGCTGTTCTACCCCCTAGTTATGCACGCAAAAAAGAAATACATTTACAGTGTAGAAATTCAAACAAATGAATAAACGATTGAAGAATACTAAGGTGCGCATTTAAGTAGCGGTTACTTAAGACTCCTGAACAATTATACTTTATAATGCCTTTATATTTATTTATAATTCTCTTTATTTACAAATGTCATGCAAGAAACTTTAACGTATTATTTCTCGCTTGTGACGTCACAATCCTATATGGCCACGGCGACTATTCAGGAGCCTTAACTATAATAAAACTTATAAATTAGTTTTGTTACCATCTCAATTAGAAATCCATAATTTAAAATATTTAGAAACCATTTCTATTAATTATATTAACAAATATTTTTTTGTGAGAATGAATATTGTGATAATATCCTACAAATATTCTACAAATATACAACCATAAGTATAATGATGTAAAACGTATGAATGAAAACTGAAAACACTAAAAAGATTTGATTATTTGCAAACTTATGTATCTGCCTTATTTGGATTCCAACTAAGATAATCGACTCGAGTCGCAGCCTGATACTCTTTCACTAAACAGTCTACAACTTCTCGTGAATTGTCCAGTTCATCGAGATTATCTTCGAACATCTTTTCTTTGCGGAATTGTTCCAAAAATGCTTCGCGTTTACGTAATTTGTCATATTGTTGTAAGGCTCTATCAAACAACTGAAACACAGTTATCAATATTTAAATTCAAATATTATAGAATATATTGTATTATATTATATATTGTGCTGTGATATATCCATTAGACGATAAGTTTTGAGAATTTAATAGTCAATATTCTTACCGATGATATATTAGTATGATTAGCTAACATCAAACCAGACACGCGATGTGCACTTTGTATATAAGGAGATTTTCGTGAAAGAGCTACTTGTATACTAGCAGGACCCCAAGGAATAAACTGCGCGAGTTTTCGCTCTCTAATCCTTTGTAATGATTTGTGCACTTGTGTCGGATCCACCTCACCCTATTCAAAATAATTATGTGTGAAGCATAAAGTTGCTTTTGATATAAGGACATAACAAATTAACAAATAAATTTCTTGAATAAGTTCTCTAAAATATTACCTGAATTATATTTAAAATGGATATATAACAATGAGATGCATTTCTGTCTAATGCTGTAGAAACCATCATATTTTTCGGTTGTAACAATCGTCGCATTACATCCAAGACAGATGTTTTTCTCACAGACGCACCCTGTTTCCCAATAATTTACAAAATTATACAGACATGTTTAAACATCAAATGTGATATATTCTAATTAAATAAATTGATTATTAAATTGATATTCTAATAATCTGAGCAGAAATATAATTTTTCTTTAAATATTGTAAAAAAAAAATATTTGATTTTTTCTGATGTTAATTTTTTGCAAATGCATCAATATACAAAATTGTAATATGCAATTATATTTTTAAATAGAATTAATTTTTTTCTAAGTCTACCATATAAAATTCATCATTTTGAAAATAAAAGTATTAACTATTAGATATTGTTGTACAGAAAATATTATAAAATGAATATTTTAAGTATTTTACATTTCATATTCTAATAAAATATGAAATAATAATAATTAATAGTAATAATTAAATCATCAGATACCTCTTCATCCGTTGTAAGTGGAGTATAACCAGTCATTAGAAAATGCAAGCGAGGAGTTGGGATAAGTGGTGCAATCAAACCAACCAAATCATTGTTCATATACGAAGGATATCTTAAAGTGGTTGTACTAACAGACATTATTGTTGAAACAAGTTTATTAATTTGTGTGAAACTGGGATTCTGGATATGCAATCTGTCTGAAGCAATTCTATTCAAAGCAGTATTGTCTAAAACTACTACACAGTCTGCACATTGAGTCAGCCTTTTCAATGTTAACAATGAATTATATGGTTGTACTACAACATCACTGTAACAAAAAAGGTATATAT